GAAAAAGAAAGAAAAAAGGCTTTCGTCGTCTTTTTCCCGCTTTCACCTTCGATTGCGAAGGGCTTTTTTTTCGGTTTTCAATTCCTCTCCGGCGAGGTTTGAACTTCGCGTGGTGGGAAGGCCTTCACGATTCGCATGTCGATTTTTATCACAATATGATCTATTATAAAGCAAGATTTGTACTAGGATCTTACTATCTTAGCAGCCAAGTCATATCTCAGAGCTCACGACACTATCTCAATCTCATCCCACCTTTTTAGTTATTGTTCTATCATTAAACTTTAGTTTTTTAAACTTTAGGAAATTCTTCATATTTGCTCAAATATCACATGGATAGCCTAAATTGTTTTCCGATTAGCTTTAAATCGAGCTCAATTCAAATCGAAATCAAGCATTGCAGATCACATGTAATCTCATAAAGCATCACAACTCCATACATTCATCTTGAATTAGACAGAGCATCATGACACGCATGTAAATCCTTGGTGCCTTCAATTTTACGTGGTCATTATGATCTTGTTTTTTTTTAAGATGGTTTTTTCCTAGTTGTTGCGGCTTGCATATACAAATACTATGTTTAATGCATAAGAAGTTAAAGTTGATTATATTATCACTGTCAACATCAAGTTATAATGGATGCACACAAAATAACTCACTAGCAAATGTGAACTAATTTATTTTGGTAGGACTAGGATCTTCTGATCCCGAACCGATTCAATCTTACAATCACAGTTTTACAAAACGTAAAACGATCTTAATGTCATATTGCGATATTGACATCTTTGCAATCAACGCAAATTTTTTTATTTTGGATTAAAATTAAAATAATAAACACACCGTTTGAACAACCTCCTATGTGTAAAAATAATAAACTTTATTAAAATAAAATCATACAGTTTATTATTTATCCGCCTCTAAAAACAAATATCTAAGTTTATTATTCTTTTTCGTTAACATTTGTTTTCCTTCAATATAACTTATTTTTCAGTATTCTTTTTCGTTACATTTGTAAAAAATAATAAACTTTATAAAAATAAAACCATATAGTTTATTATTTATCGCCTTTAAAAACAAATATCTAAGTTATGAATGACCCATTCTCCATTCATCTTCCAACGACCTCGTATCATGGTTTTGTTATAACCACTACAACACATAACTAAAGGTACTACAAAGTACAAATTAATTGTATAATTTCATCTTATTGATTAATTATCAACCACTAGAAAACCAATTAAACCTGAAACATAAACTTAGATCATATTAAACAATTTTCACAACTAAAACTTATAACAACTCCATCATCATCTTATTAAACCTGCACTATAGAAACCCACACCTCCATGACCACCATTATCATAGAAACAACCTCTAAAACCTACAACTCTTCAAAACCCACAAACCATCTCAAAATGTCAAAACATTCATCAACAATAACCATATTCACAATTCTCATAGTCATAGCAACCATTCATCTAAGAATCTTAAACGTATCAGCAATCGACCCCACACCCGAACCCGGGGTCCACGTCTTCGAGCTCTACATGCACGATATCCTAGGTGGAAGCAACCCCACAGCTAGACCCGTGACCGGGCTCTTAGGCAACATTTACAGCGGTCAAGTCCCGTTCGCTAGACGCATCGGATTCCGTGCCCCGTCGGGCGGAATTGCGATTCCGAACGCCAACGGAGCCATTCCAACCGTCAACCCAAACGGAATCCCACTCGGAACTGGCCTAGTCGGAACACAGTTCGCAAACCTGAACAATAACAATAACAACAACAACATTCAGAACCAGATCGCAGCCCAATTGGGCCCCGATGGGCTTGGGCTCGGGTTCGGCACGATTACAGTGATTGATGATTTGTTGACCGCTAATGCTAAACAGGGTTCACAGACATTGGGGAAAGCACAAGGTGTGTATGTTGCCAGCTCAGCAGATGGAAGTAGACAAATGATGACGTTTACGGCTGTGATGGAAGGAGGGGAGTATGGTGATAGTATTAACTTTTTTGGAGTGTACAAGATTGGAAGCACGATGTCCCGCTTGTCGATAACGGGTGGGACCGGGAAGTTTTTGCACGCTTGCGGATTTGCTGAGGTTCGGTCGCTTATACCCGCGGGTCAAATTGTGGCTGATGGGGTCGAGTCTTTGTTGAGGTTGACTGTGCACCTTTCTTATTAAGACCGCAATCAACCGTTCAACAAAGTTTTGCGTGTTTGTATACGCGTGTATGTGTGCTTGTGTGAACAAAAATCGTCATCTTATTTGTAATTTTTACTTGATCAATATTACCATTATTTAAACAATGATCCATTATAACAACCAAAGTATTGGTATATTATATCTTATATCGATGCAACACAGTCTTTCTTATGTTGGAGTTCATCCTCTCAGCTCTTTGAAGAAACAATCTTGAACTATCTTAATGATCAAACTTAACAAAAGCAAACAAGACAATAATAACTACAAACGATTGGTAATTCATTTTGCCATACAGTGAATTTCACGAGAAGCTAGTGATGGTAACACGATCAAGAACAGTGTCTTGATCGAGCCTATGGAGGGAATCAATCAGATGCATTCTCAGTGACGCCGGACCTTTTGCCAATTCCATTCCGATGTCGCCGGCCAAACCAAATACAGAAAACGCAGATGCCGTGGCTTCAAAAGCGTGTGTTGGGTCGATTGCAACAAAAGCAGCAATCAGAGCAGTGACTGAACATCCGCTCGCCGTTATCTTTTGCATCATCGGAACTCCGTTATGTGCACCGACAACTCTTTCACCATCTGTAACAAAGTCAACCGATCCTGAAATCGCAACTATACTGCCGCTCGATTTCGCTAAAGATTTCGCGGATTCAATAGCATCACTGGATTCGTGCAAGCTATCGGCACCCTGAGTATGTAAAACAAGTAGTCAGCCCCAATTCAAGGACACCCAGATAATCAAGAACCCTAAATTCGTAGCTTTTTAATATATCGGAGTGAAGAAAGAGACAATTTTTAATTTTAGTATTTTACCTTGGTGGAACCAATGGAAGCCATGGAAAGAGTAATAATCTCGGAGCCGTTTCCTCGAATAACAGTGGGTTTAAGTTCAATTAACTCAAGACATGCCTTTAACCGGAAGCTAGAAGCCCCGACGGCAGCTGGATCGAGAACCCAAGGCTTACCCAATTGATTCGCTACACTGGCGGCAGCTTTCATGGCCGGCAACCAATCTGGGGTGAGGGTTCCGACGTTTATAAGGACGGATTGTATATGAGGAGTGAAATCTGGGATTTCGAGAATCGAGTGGACCATCGCCGGTGATGCACCGGCAGCTAAGAGGGTATTGGCCATTATATCCATGGATACGAAGTTGGTGATGCATTGTATTAACGGCGATTGTTGACGGAGAGATGAGAGGTATGTCCATGATTTTACACCCCATGGATTGATGACTTCTTGCTGTTTCTGGTCCGCCATAGCCGCGATTTTCTTCTACCGACTACAAAATCTTGACCTCAATCTAATGAGATGATGGCATCATATACTGGTTTGACCTAAAGAATCATCTTCTGTTTCTTCCACTTGGCATGGTGCTGTTCGCCTCTGACGCTAAGCCCCAATTAGGATGTGTGGGTTTTGAGAAGTGGGAAGTCAGAGTAATTACGGGTCGGGTCGGTTCGTGTCAATTCTGAAACAAGATAAGAAAAATCTGGGTTCGGGCTTCTTCAGTCCGTTTTGTTTTTTTCTCGGGATAATGACTTGAAAGGGTAACGAACTTTCGACTTTGTTTATATTTATTCACTAAACTTTTTTTCGTTATTTATTTGCCACTGAACTATTGAAACTGTTCATATTTTACCCTTATGACCGGTTGTTACCGGTCATAAGGGTAAAATGTGAACAGTTTCAATAGTTCAGTGGCAAATTGATAATGAAAAAAAAGTTTAGTGACTAAATGTGACCAAAATCGAAAGTTCGTTTCCTTTTAAAAAAGTTCAATGACTAAATGTGAAGAAACTTCCTCTTGTATTATGTTTTAGCAAATTATTTATTTTTGTTAAATTCTAGCAACATTTGTTGATGAAAAAATCTATGAAATAAAAAAAAAACAAAACCCCGAAAAATATATTTAAAAAAAAACGAAAAACCAAAACCGAAAAAAAAACCAATGGTTTGGTATTTTCCAAAATAAAAAATCAATATTTTCAATCTGATTTTGGTTTTACAAAAAAATGAACCATTCTCACTGATGTGAATTATGACTATTGGTTTGGCATGCGGAATTAAAGAACACACAAAAAACACGGTGATTTGGTATTTAAGAGATGCATTCGATTATGAAAGGTGTTTACAAAAAATTATCTAGATCTAAATCTACATAATTAAAA